ATAATGGACAAATCCTCTGAAATGAAAGCTAGCCCCAATTAAGGTTTTCTCCCTTAAAACAGTTTCCTTGGTCATGGTGTCTCTCACAGCAATAAAACCCTAAGGAAGAAAACCTGACTTCCATATCAAACAAAAACGATTTAGTAAATTTTGCTATCATTTGAGTTAAAATTGTTTGTGATGTATTTATTAATATTGCTGGTAAATTAACATCACATCAACAACCTACATTTTCTTCTCTGATGAATATTTATTTATTTTTTCAGTAGGGTTGCTTTTTTATATTAAACTTTAAAAAAACAGAACATATTAAAAATGTTTGATTACATGTATCAAAAATGTGTTTGTTGAGATAAAAAGATGAGTCATTTTTGCATTTCTCAGAAAACCAAAACTTTAAAGTTGTACAGCTATCAAATCTAGAAAAAGAGAGAAGATAAGTAAGAAATATGACAAAGGAACTGCCAAGAAAAATAAATAAATTTGAAAAATCCAACTTGACAATCAAATGCATGATTTACAATAATTCAGTAAAAAATAAATCAAAAGTAGTACAAATTACATTTTAAGTGATCATGGATAAGAGAAAGGGCAAAGAAAAGCAGATGAAATTTTAAAAATGTATCCTTTTGTATTTAATCCAGAAAATAAAAGGAACAGTTTAACTCTAGTTCTTATCATGAAACTAGAAATAAATCATGTAAATTATGTTGAAAGGAACTTTCAGCAGATGTGGTAGCACAAACTTTTATTCCCTGCATTTGGAAGGCATAAGCTAGTTGTCTTGAAAAACCAAAGCGGGGAAAAGGAACCTCATAAGTCTCCAAACAACACGGGCTATTTGACCTTGATTACCAACAATAACATTATTGTAAGACCTTAATGCTCAAGATACCGTGTCTTTGGATATATGGCTTAGAGACTTTAACTTCAATTGATGAGAAAAAAAATCCATCTTTAAGAACTATCTCTCAAGCTGATGTAAGTGCTAAGAAGAGAAAAGAGAAAAAGAGAGAGAGAGAAAAGAACAATGGTTGGATTCCAAACTAGACTATCCGTGCTACAAAACTTACCAGTTTGGCAAGATATGGTCATTTGTGCAATAATGACAGGATTGTTATGGGAAAGATAAGAGCTTCCACACTATATTTGAAGCCTGTTACACAAGAAGAAATTTCAATCCTGGTACTCCAATAATGGTTAAACTCCATGACAGGAGGTCATAGTCTTTAGGATAGTATTTGCTAATATTATTTTGCTAAATAGTGATAGTCTCAAGTTTTCTTTTAAATATTGTACTCATGCCATTGACCTGGGATTCTCTGTACTTCAGTCAGATAAGCTTCTTTGGTTGCAGTGGGCAGGGGTCAATGGAGAGATGTTTAACTGTTTTACATTCTGAGAATGAAAGACTGAAGCACAGCATTAAACTGTATATCTTCACCACACCTGAAAGAGTCAGGAACAATTAGGAACACAAGAGCAACAGAAGGACAAGGAACACTATGAAATGCTATCCCTGGACATGGCAGGGCTACCACAGTCATGAACTTGCAGCTTCTGTGGTCTACTGAATAAGACCTATCCAAGATAAAGACAGCTAAATTCCGTCTAGAATATTTGCCAGTCTCGATCCCTGAGTTAAATCAAAAAAGGCTATACTGGCAGGTTATTACTGCTCATGAAGGAAGGATCAGTCTTATTTTTAAAGAAGTAGCTAGCTTCCCTATGATCATGTGGATGGCCCCAGATCAATGTATATATCATCTACAATTAAACCAACTATTAGCGCTGCTAATATGAGATGGGGGAGCAGTAGTTGGATCCAGAGGATCATGATGAAAGAAGAATTATATGAGGAGGAGGAGGAAAAAATAAGTTGGTAGGAGGATTTTTTTGAGGGTGATATAGGATAGGTGTGTAAGGCAAAAGAGGAGGTGGATACAGGAATATATATATATAATTCATATATATATATGAAATTTCAAAGTATTTTAGAATATAAGGCCTCAATATATGTATTATATAGATGATAACATATATAAATGAGCTTAATGAATTAGCTTTTATTTTATCTCATTATACTTTATTTTTCTATTATTCCTTAGAATTCTGATTGTTTTCTTTTTTGTTTTTTTAAGATTTATTTTTTTTTAAATTTTTTTTATTAAAGATTTCTGTCTCTTCCCAACCGCTGCCTCCCCTTTCCCTCCCCCTCCCCCAGTCAAGTCCCCCTCCCTTGTCAGCACAAAGAGCAATCAGGGTTCCCTGCCCTGTGGGAAGTCCAAGGACCACCCACCTCCATCCAGGTCTAGTAAGGTTAGCATCCACGAAACTGCCTAGGCTCCCATGAAACCAATAGGTACAGTAGGCTCAAAAACCCATTGCCATCTACTGAGACCTCAAGAACAATGGCAATGGGTTTTTGATCCTACTGATTGTTTTCTAATGAGAGACAGAAACTGGATGGATCAGGATGGGAAAAGAAAGGAGGAACTGAATGTAGTAGAGTAAAGGTAAAACATAAACAGAATACATTATGCTAAAAATACTCTATTTCAAAAAAAAATGGGAGGGAACACCAAAAAAAGGAAAAATACTAAGTTAAGAAATATAGACCCTAAAAATGATACTATCATCTAAATACAGTATGTGAAATTAAAAATAACACAGAAGTTCCCATCTAAAATGTTAATGCATTTTAAAAAATTCACACCCTGTAACTTTATCTGTGGCATACCTATTCAGACAGCCACTTCTATTTATTACTATTTGAGGTTAACGTACTCTACCCCCCAAGCGAGAAGATCGACAGTTATACAAAATTTGGTATATTCATGAATCAGAATCCTACTTCAGAAAGATATTTGTGCATACAAATATTGAATTACATCTACATATAATACTTATTCCATAATTGCATTCAATAATAGTAAAACAGACAACTCCAGTTACTTAGTACTTAACAAGTTAATATGAAAATTTTAGGGACAGCACTGAAAAAGGCAATGACCTTTCAAAGTCTCTCTTATTGAAAAATACAGCCATTCACTAAAGATATTGTTGTTTTCATCTATTGTATTAGTTATCCTACCTACTAACATTGCTACAAAGTCCTGGGATATATCCCTCATGTAAGGATTAATATCTAAGAACTCTCTTCTGTGTCTTGAAGGCACCTAAAACCTGACTCAGAAAGATTTTCCGTAAATGGCAATACTGAACATTTTCAAATTTGTTTCTTTTTTGTTCTATAGCTACTCAATTCTGCCACAATTGCATCCAAATAGCCATAGCTACTATGCAACTAAATAAATGTGGTTGAGTATCTAAATGGATGCATCTTTTGGGGTCATCCTTTATTCGGGGTATTTTTTCATTAATACACTAAAAATTGGTAGGTAGCACCATGCATGATTCTTCAACTCTCCTTATCAGTTAGAAGATTTCACCTTTAAATCAGCGGGCACAATATTCGAGAAAGTAACTTAGAACCAATCCTTTCATTAAGGCATCATCTTTGTTCAGCCTAATTATGCATTGAGAGGAATTAAAATGAGAGGAAGTAAAAAAAAATGACCTATTCTTTGTTCACCTCTTCTAGAAAATTTTATTGATTTAGCATTGATTTAAATCAACATCAGATGTTCATAGAATGTATAGTAAAATGCATGTTAATTACGTACCTTTATATTGTTGTATCATCAAAGAATGATTTTTTCTATTTCTCTTGTTTTAATATCTATTTCAAAAACTAAAAGATTGTTAAAATGATATAGAAGTTTATAATAAATAAATTATTTGCAATGCACCAAGCTATGTTTTAATGTTCATGCACTTATCATTCCTTAGAACACATTGAATGGTAATAACACACGATGCACGCAGATGAATCATTTGTTTCATTTTGATATGTGAATGTGAATATCACGGAATTGTTTCAGATCTTTCTCGGTGTTCTGTATACAGACCCCCCTCAACTTCTACATACTACAGATAGCGCAGCTGCACCCCAGTCTCTGATGGGCCACATTATTGATTGCTTCTGATCCTGCACAATCTGCATATGAGGTAAGTACCATGGTTTGGATCAAGAACTATTTCTTTTTTAATCAGTAGTGATAAAACAAGAGTAAATAGCCACTCGGGGAAAAGGAAGGTGCTGAGCCTGCAGTCAGTGCTCTGAATTCCATACTAGCTGTTGGTCTGAAGGGTGTTAAACAGACAAAATTGCAGCTGCTCCCACAAATCAGCAATTAATCAGAATTAAGCTTTCCCACTGCATTTATTTTTGTTCTAAAAATGAGGTGGTGTATGGCTAATCTAGCTCATATAATGAATACATGTTTTCCTCAAAATGTTGACATGGCATTCTGTTTTTAAGAAAAAGGAAGTTGATCTGACAAATTAATAATTTGCTAACTACATTCTTTTGTGATTTTTTAATCAACATCTCAATCACTTTTAAGCTACATAGAATACATAGCAACATATAAATTATTCATAGATATTAGGCATTATGTTCATGTAATTTAGCAAGCTAATTTAAGAATACAACTTAACAAGTGAAATAATTATTAAATGTTAAGAGGTAAAGAATTATTTAAGATCATGTCCATGAGCCAGAAGAAAAATCAAAAAAGGTAGCAATCAATATCAATAGACCAATCAGAACAATTGTGAATTTTGATACAATTTTATGATATCAAGGACAAAGGTATTTGATTGCATGCCCAATAAAAACTTCCAGTACAGGGGAAAGACAGCATTAATACAGATGCATAATTCAGTATGTTTGAAAAACTTTTTAAAACAGATGTAACCTGAGATGTTCCTGTTTTCCACAATAATTTTGATTTTTGCAGTTTAAGGAACAGCTTTCTATAATACACACCGCATGATATTTTCCCTTCGTTTGCCAGCTCCACCTTCATTTCACCACAGTTTCTCAAAAGAAGAAGAAATAACAAGCAATTCCAAAGGAATCAAAACAAACTTACTTTTCCAACATACTGTGGATCTGGTCCCATATGTTCTTCTAAAACAAAGAACTGGTTCCATACCCATCCCCTCTTGGGACGATGGTGGACTTCCGTCTCCCCTTCAATGTGTTTGGTTTGGTTTCTGGTTACCTTGATGGAGCTGTGGTGAGCAGTTCCATAACACCTCTGAACGAAACAGAGACACACGAGGACTGGGCAGATGCAAGATGTGCTCGTCACTTTCATTGTAAAGATCACTTCCCGTTCACACTCCTTCTTGTCTTTGTGGACTACAAAGGCTCAGTGTGCATTCAAGAGGAAAGGCGAAGCATCTTTTGGAAGGACAGTCCAAAGTAGGTCATTTAGTCTGTCCATGATTTAACTGCCCATCAGCAGAGGTCAGACCATATTTACATCCTTATTCATGGCTGGAATCTCAGGGGCAGCCATTAGATCCCAAGTTGTCTCTGTAGGTGAACCCAGCTCATCATTTTCTACCTAATGGGAAGAGAGAATTTGTACATGTTACTAAACATCTGAATTTTAATACAGGTTATGAAGACAATTTTAAGACAGGTTCTTAGTGATTTTTCACTAAGGCACGTAGATGATGGTTGTGAATTTGCCTAGAAAATCACTTCTGTGCTTTGCTGTGAAGGTATTTTTGAGAGATTTGACTGAGGCTAGAACAATACTGAATGTGGATCTTCTCGCTCAAGGGAGCAGGATTCTGGATAAAATGAAAGAAGGAAGAGGATAAAAATATAAAGCTGAACTCACATGTATCTCTTGTTGCTCCCTGACTGTGGATACAATGAAATCACAGACCTCACACTCCCTTGCCTAGCCTTCATTGCCATGAAAGACTACACCTATGCAAACCCTAAGTCAAAACAAATCTTTCCTCCCTTAAGTTACATCTTCTATGGTATTTGGTTCCAGCACTGAGAAAAGTAACCAATGAAGCTGTAAAATGATAATGTGCAAATGTTTTCAAAAATACACATAAACACTCGTGCTTGAATATATTTTATATGTAATTTCCTACCTTTAATTGTCATCCTTAATTACACATGTACTTATATATGTAATACTATACTTATACTTTTGGTAGATATAAGAAAAATTAATGTGTATATTACAAATTAGTGCTGCAGGGAAATCTACAACCACTAATTTACTACAAACAATCTATAAACATTGGTTATATATACAGAGAAGTGTGATCTTCACTCCCATCAGCAAAAGTTCTTACAACAGACCGAGAACACTACAGAAAACCATAGCCATTCAAACTCCAGAATTATGGAGGACAGTCCTAATGGATACATTTACAAGACACTCCCCTAACGTTTAGGTATCATTGTGGAAGACAGGATGGAAAGACTGTAAGACCCAGAAAAACAGGGAGTTTGCTGGGAAATAGATAGTGTCTCCTAGTAACAAAGGAAGCCATTGCCATAAATTCACACCTACATGACCACCAAAACTGAGCTGAACAAGGATGATAGCAATGAACATACCATACTGGAATGTGGAATTAGAGTCCATGAGGCATCAACCTTATACAAAGACTAAAAGCAACTTGGTAAATATGGTAATGGAAAGAGGGCCTTCTTAGGAAAGAGCATACCAAATTGCTGTCCAGTGACAAATGGAGAGCCCTGGAAACAGCTCCAAAGCTGGTGGAAATGTAAACTCTTACATCCACTTTGGATATCAGTATGACAGTTTCTCAGAAAATTGGAAATCAACGTGCCTCAAGACCCAGGAAATGCACTATTGAGCATATACCCAAAGGATGCTCAATCATACTGCAAGGACATTTGTTCAACTATGTTCATAGAAGCATTATTTGTAATTGCCAGAATGTCAAAACATCCCAAATGGCCCTCAACCAAATAATGGATAAAGAAACTGCGGTACATTTATACAATGGAGTACTACTCAGTGATAAAAAACAATGACATCGCCGGGTGATGGTGGTGTATGCCTTTAATCCCAGCACTTGGGAGGCAGAGGCAGGTGGATCTCTGTGAGTTCGAGACCAGCCTAATCTACAGAGCTAGTTCCAGGACAGGCTCCAAAGCCAGAGAGAAATCCTGTCTTGAAAAAAAAAAAAATGACATCTTGAAATTTGCATGCAAATAGATGGAACTAGAAAAACATCTTTAGTAAGGAGGTAGCCTAGGTCCAGAAAGATGAGCATGGTATGTATTCACTCATGAGTGGATACTAGCTGTAAAGCAAAGGATAACGAGCCTATAGTCCATAACCTCAGAGAAGCTAAATAACAAGAAGAATCATATCAGAAACATATATACCCCTGGGAAGGGGAAAAAGACAAAATCTCGTGAGAAAATTGGTAGCATGGGGTTGGGTGAAGGGAGGGCTGAATGGAAGCAGGAGGTGACAAGGGGAGGGGGAGGCGAACATGAGGGAAAGGCACAGATGAGAAAGCAGAAGGACAGGGATGGAGAGCAAGGAAAAATGTATCTTGATTGAGTGAGTCATATGGGGCTAGTAAGAAACCTGGCACTAGGGAAATTCCCAGGAATCCACAAGGATGACCTCCGTTAAGACCCTAAGCAATAGTGGAGAGGGTGCCTGAACTGGTCTTTCCCTGTATTCAAATTGATGACTATCTTAAATGTCACCCTAAACCTTAAAACAGCAACTAAAGGAATCAGAGGCAGAGATCCACAGCAGAGCAATAGGCTGAGCTTACAAAGTCTACACTAAAAGAGGGAGGAGTGAGAATATGAGCAAAGAGATCAAGACCATGATGCAGATGCCCACTAAAACAGCTTACCTGAGCTAATGGGAGCTCACCAATTCTGGCCTGATGGTAAAGAGACCATCATAGGACCAAACTGGGCCCTCTGAATGTGAGCGACAGTTGTATGGCTAGGGCAGACGGTGGGGCCACTGGCAGTGATAGTCGGATTTAACCCTACTGCTTCTACTGGCATTTTGGAACCCAATCTCTTAGAAAGGACAATTTGTTCAGCCTAGATATAGTGGGGAGGTCCTTGGTTCTGCCTCAAATCAATGTGCTATACTTTCTTGACTCCCATGGGAAGCCTTATCCTTTCTGAGGAATGGATGGGAGGGTGGAGTCTAGGGGTTAAGGTGAAGAGAAAGGGATAAGAGGAGAGCATGGGAACTGGGTTGGTATGTTAATTGAGAAAACATTGGTTTTCTATATATATGTGCGTGTGTGTAGTGTGTGTGTGTGTAGTGTGTGTGTGGGGTCATATGGGGACTGGGTTGGTATGTTAATTGAGAAAACATTGGTTTTCTATATATGTGTGTGTGTGTAGTGTGTGTGTGTGTGTATACACACAGACACACACACACACACTACATTTTTTCTATCAGTTCCATCACAAAAGTCAAATGGCACATAAAGTGCTTAGTCATTAAGGAAATAAAATGCTGTGGAACAGAGGAAGCTCACTGGGACATTATACGCAGCTGCAAATCATACCAGGCCTGAGAAACAGGTTCACAGAGTAAAGTATAAATGAGAACGCCAGCTGGGCTCATCCGTGGCTTCAGACATTTTCTCGGGTACTTTTCATGTTTCTCTAAAGTGTGGACTTTATATCCAGGCAAAAGTCAAATATCCAAGCTGGGGGATGACTTCAATAACGATTTGATTTTACTACACATTTTATTTTTTGCTGCTGTATCAAGAAAAGCTTTCAGGAAAAACAGTGATAACAGTTGCAACAGTAAAAAGTTTTTATTGGTTCATATAAATAAATCATCCAGGATCTCAACTTAGATTTTGTTATATTTAAAGACAGTGTGACTTGCTTACTTGATAAGGAACATGAAATGTTTTATGTACTTCTGTATTAAAGTCTACTCCACATTTAAAGATAAATATACTATAAGGTATAGATAAATAAATTATATTGAGGTAGGCATAGCGTTATGCTTAAGTATTTTTTTAAAAACTAAATCATCATTCACACCCTTATTTTTATGAATAGTTGGAAAAATGACCTTGTGTGGTTCATGATGACAATGTTTCAGACCATCTATAGTCCTTCTTTGTCTATAAGGAACTTCTCTAATAAATTAGATTTGATGTTTATGACATCTTATTTCTGGTATAAGATTTGTATAGAAGTAAAACTGGGGCCATATTTCAATCATCTGACAAATGTGCTATTCACATTTTACACTATTTTGTGAGAGCAGAGATAGATATATGTTTCACTGATTTTATTTAAAATGATTCAAAATTTCCTGTAGTTTATAAAATAAAAAGAGTATTATTCTTGGTCCAAGTTGTACAGGCACTGGAAAGAGAGTCAAAACTCACCAAATTTAAAAATAATTTAATTTTTTTAAAAATAATTCCCCATATTCCTATTTGCATTACCCAAGCACTTCAAGTCTCAATTATCACATTTACTTAAACTTTTGACTGAGGTAATTGCCTTCAATGTTCATTCCACTTTACTTAATACCAAATTATTTTGGTGATATATTTTTAATTCCTCATGGATTTTGTCAACTAATGAATTTCAAGGAAAGATATTTTAGTAACACTTCTTAGACTCCAAAGTGAGAAATACATAGAAGGTGATATTACCTTAATGCTTTCTCACCATTTGGTGTGATTTTTCAAATGAAATTAATATCATTGCTCTTTATAAATAACTTAGCAGCATAATTCAAGAGTGCAATGTGACAAAAGTTACTTTTGAAATGCTTTACACATACAATGAATAAGTGATCTTCTTTACAATGTTGATCCTGTGTATCATTGTAAACATATGTAAGTGCATTTTCACCAACCTGACTGTTAAAAGTTGTAAGCTTTTGTGACAGTTATGAAAAGTAATAAATATATTGAAGAAATGAGAGAAATAAACATAACTATTGAGTTTTTTAACGTATTTTCCTAACTCGGCCGTTATGTCATAGTCCAACAGTGACTGTAAGTGTTGAAGCCACCTCCAGTGGCAAAGACACGAGTGTTTTCTCTGTCTTACCCACATTATTTCCTGCTTCTCTCTAAACACAGTTCTTAAGGAGTCTCCTCACTTCAGATAGTAATAAAATAGTCCTTCAAACTTGCATTTGTAACTTCCCAAAGAAAATCTAGGTATGTGCTAAAAAAAAAATAGAATTTCTAGTATGAGTGTGATTGCAATAATGCCCCCCAAAAATGTAATATCTGAAGAAGAGAGTATACGAACAGCATAAAGGACATTTCTCTCCCTTGTGTTCTGTGTTCTGCCTGAGTTGTCTGACATTGCTTGCAGATTTTCATCGCAGGCACATGGAAAGAAAATCACTTTTCAGAAAAGGAGTTAATAAACCAGTACTATCAGGAGACCTGGGCCTATAGTGTTCATTTTAAAGAGTAATATGCAATTTATATTTGTATTTTTTCTGTGATTCATATTTATTTCTTACACTCCAAATATCATTTCTTGTAAATAAGACCTTTGACTTGAACCACTTTTTAATTTAAA